TACAATTCGATTTTCGAAAAAAAACCGCAAATTATCAAATATGCTGTTATGTACTGCTTGCTCACAATACACAACCTTTTTCAAAATCTTCTTTCCACAAATTCCACAAATTTTTACACAAATTCTGCACAGCTAGAAAGACTGCTTGCTCCGATTTTTGATGCAAGTTTTAGATTACAACCCAACTCAAGAAAACCGAAGCCAAGAAGCTAAGATTTTTAAAAAATGGTTCGACAGAACTATCGCACCAGTCTGACAAAATCCTCTGGACATAATTGAAGTGCTACAAATGCTGATTTCGTTCGAAAAAAAAACACAAATTTCCTATGGCTTCCCAGGAATCGTAGAATGCTTTGAATCATATTCGTCACTCATTGGTACGCCTATGTCCGAATGGCATATATAATAAATTTCAAACTATGTATATGCATCACTTCGACGCAATAAACATCGTTGATAATGACGTATGAAAATCCAGTTTTATAACCATTCTCGTTCGTATTCATGTGCATGAACCTTCTTCATCCATTCTTATCTGTGATACCTCAAAAAGGCTGCACTCGCTAGCCTTATATGAAGTGCCCGTAAACTCGTAGTACAGAACTGAATAATGCAATTTTTTCAGGATTTTGTGCGCACAACCTCTCAGGATTACAAGAAAACGAGGGATGGAATTCCGAACATTGTGTTTGCAAACACATTCTATAAATCAACGGTGGGATGATGTTTTTCACTGTATATAACTCGATGTTTTTAAGGATTAATCTTTATTCAATATTGATATGGTACAAATGTACATAAAAGTTCATGCAATAGTGATCTGGTTGCTGGTTGGTCAGATATAATTTGTCAAAACAAGGATTAACAGTTTTCAAAATCAAATCAAGACCGCTTGTTGATGAGTTGAAGAAGTAGAGGTAGCAAAGAAGAGATCAGATGGCTAGCGTACAACATTTTGCGGAACCTCCGCTCTTGATAAATTCGCTCATGTCCACAAATCTGAAATCAGGAAGTTTAGATTTCGCTCTATTGGTCTTTATTCTTGCTTGATGGTTCTATGTTCGAAGTGGTCTCACTGCGGGAAGTCGGACCCATTCACACAAAGCTGCGCGGGATTTGTAAACATCTGGATCGACGATCAAGGCTTTGCAAGTCATTCTTCATACGTTCGTCAAGGTGCAAATTCATCGCTCACTATATTTTTTCCAGAATTTCTTTTTCATTTTACTGGCGCCTGGTATGGCTAAATTTTGCCTCCCCCCTCCCCATCCCTCCACATATCTCTCTCGTTTTTCGAGGCCTTGATTAGTTCTCCATGCTTCTTGATATCAGATTAAATTACTTACCTCACTCTGAATCCAAGCTTCTCCAATTGGTTAGCAGTTTCGTCATTTTGGTGATTCATTATTACATTACGTCCTACGACCACAGCATTACATGCGAAATTTTGAGCTTCTTTCTCGGAAACCTGTAAGAAATATGCTTGAACAATGTCAAAAAAGTCGCATACTTCGAAGAACTCACTGGTAAAAGTCCAGTTTCGTTGTGCATATTGTGCCTGGTAATAGGATCAAAAGCATGCGGGAAGTACATGGCTAGTTCATCGTTAAGTGGGCAAAAAGCGGTGTCAATGTGGTAAAACCTGAAATAAGACATGATGTAAGCTTAAGAATCGCTATTCTGATGGTATTTGCTATGTCATACCTTGGATCAACCAAGCGACATCCCATAACCTTGAAGGGAGTGCCATCATTCAGTTTTTCGACCAAGTCTTTCAAGGCTCGAACGTCTGTTCGTGGTCCGACACCCGTGAACAATGTTCTATGACCCGCTCCTCCCCATAGCGCATCTCCTGCTCCTGAAACGATTTTTCTTCGTAAAACTGACAATCCAATAATCAAGTTCACTGCACATGAAGCTACCGAAATCCAAGCACTTTGACCGGTAGTGTTTACAGAACAGACAATATCCCACAATCAAGAATGCTCTCGGATGTGATTTCTCAACCATCACCACTCAAACGCTGCGGTTGGCACACAATCTCTTTCACATTATGTGCTGAATTCAAGTACATTTTGAGGGCCACAACTAACTCTTGCAAAAATTCCCATTTTACTTTCAGACCAACACTCGTCATCATAACCACCCTAGCTAAACTAACAGCTACCTTTTTTGATTCATTCGCTCTTGCTCTAACATTCTGTTTTGTACTGTGAAAAGCTTTCCGTCTTTTTCTTTCAACCACGGGGTACGTGTTGAGCAAAAGTATCCCTATGTATGTATCTCACCTTCAAAGGCAATGTCCAAATCTCCTACACATTCGTATCCATGCTTTGTGAACCATTGCTGGAAGAAGTACCTGAAAGCATAAACCGTTTTTTCGCCAAGCCAAAAACACTCCTAGGACAACTTGTGAACACATCTGTCAGTGACTTATTTCTACACCAACATTTACAGATTCTAGCTGTAAATCTTGAGCACTATATCCTTTCTTTTGATATTTGATACTGAATACATCTCATGCGGCTTCTACCATATGACTTATTATGCAAAATTAGACATGAGTGAAAGGCTATAACATTGCAAATATTTCTTCCTTGGACTATAGAAACCTGTGGCCGCATTGGTGGCTCTTTTCCCACAGTTCCCTTTCTACTACCATGATGGAGACAGTAAATCACTTCGGTAAAGTAAGCAATGTTATCATCCTGGAGTACTTTCAGTACATTTCGTGAAGATTTGCACCGAACTTCCGCTGCCTGCAGCGTGCAAGCGCAAGATTACGGTAGAAACCGGATCGCCGCCAGGTGATGTTTGTTGCATATTTTGGCTACCATACACCATAAATTTGGATAAATTAGATTTCGTCCAGATTTGATTCAAGTGTGTCAAATCATACAAATCTTTTTGACTAGTGGTATCCTGGAAGCAAAACGAAGGCTTCAGAGAGGCATGGTGAAGGTCCCATAATTCCCATCCTCTCTATATTGCGTTCTTTAGCAGACTATCTTATTTTCTGATGCGCCCACTAATCGAAGTTTGTTAGATTTCTGATCACAAGCGGTTGGTGCTGATCTACGAACTGCGCAAAGCAATCCAGTTGCGTGAAATTGCGCGGAGAAGCGATGATCGCTCACATCTGGTGCAAACTCGGTGCAAATAGTTC